ATAAATAAATAAATAAATAAATAACAATCTGTATGTGACAAACTGCTGACCTGTGGTGTAAGACACCACCTCCTCTCGTGTACCTTGTCCTTATTTCACAACAGTGCACAAGATAGCAACAAAAGCCATCATTTGTAACATATAATTCTTCTTCTATAATTTGATGAAGTTTCCTGCCTCCAGAATTATAATAGTAATAAACATCATTTCCCCAGGCCTTGCCAAAGGGCCCTCTTAAAACCAAGCCTAGCGGCTGCAAGGGCTTATTATTACAGTACAGCAAGAGCGCTGTTTGGTGTAATGCCTCGGGATGGTTCAAGCAAAGCTGAAAGGTCAGGGGCAAGAAAGAATTCCACAGCTGTTGGGAAAACAGAGGGAGTGCAGAGAGAAAGACAAACCCTGAGGGCTCCACAGCTTTTTTCATCACAGGTACGTGGAGTGGAGACGCAAATCACGGGCCTCACAGGGGAATCTGCAATGCCTGTCTAGCGAAATTCACCGGGGTCCAGCCACTTGTCTTGACCAGTTCAACAGTGGCAAGGCATTGCTTCCCCTGGGCTATCCAAAACAAAACATCCCTGATCTTATTTGTTCCTTTATTTAAAATCTCTGCCTGGCTGTAGCTATTCTACTTCTCCACCAGAATGTACTCTGTAGAACAGGGGTGGGCAATTAATTTTTATGGGGGGGGGCACATGAAAAATCAGGGGCCGAACCAACTTTACTTAAAAATAAAATGAAACAGTGATGTTATGATTGTTTTTATTTTAAACTTGTTAATCTTCACAAATACTAAAGAGGTTTTTTGTGGTATGTTAAAGATAAGGAGCTGATCGACTTGCCCAGGGTCTGCTGTAGAACCACCCTTTGCTATTTGAGCACCAACACATCTACTCATCCTGGTCTCTCACGTTAAGGACATATCTATACAACTATCTCTGTGTTTAAAGGCTCTGTTTAAAGGTTCCCCTTCCGCAGCCCCCCAGGTGCATGGCCCATGTCATGCTGCTGCCCTGTCATTGTGCCTCTAGACTGGATCTGCTGTCTACAGTCAGGAAACAGCTCTCGGAATGTCTCTGAAATCAGCAGAGGAAACCGTGTCCTCATGTTAAAAACTTCAACTTCTGTAAAATAAAAATGAAATGAAATGAAACCTCATACCTTTCCAGTTATAAGTACCAGGTGCCCCAAAGACGACATAATGATAATCTCTGGTAAAAGTGGCAGCAACACCTTGTTGGCATGAACCGAACTTCTCATGCCCTCTCAAGCGGCCTTCACAGAAACTCCACGGCTCAGCATACAGGTCTTCACTGTTGGTGAGATCCTGATTCAGGACATAACACCTTCCAATGATATCTCGGGTTTCCTGAATTGTATTTACAAATTGCCTTTTCTCATAGCGATGTGCACAAGTCTGGAAGAGAGCAGGAAGTAAAGAATAAGCAAACACAATGCAACAGAAGAGGGATAATGAGAAATAGCCCCAGCATGGCTTTTAACTATCTGGGTCTGTACACAGAAAGACACATTCTTTACTTCTACTTTATGATCAGTCCACTTATACCTGGGAATGAAAAAAGTTGCACCTCCATTCTTATACTACTACTACTACTACTACTACTACTACTACTACTACTACTACTACTATTATTATTATTATTTGATCAGTCCACTTATACCTGAGAATGAAAACAGTTGCACCTCCATTATTATTATTATTATTATTATTATTATTATTATTATTATTATTATTATTATATAAAAAGGCAAAGGAAAATATTGGCCACTGGCAAATGTGCTAGAACCTGCGGTGTCCATCCAGGCTGTCAACCCTCTCTCTTCTACAGCCCCCTGCTCACCCTTTCAAAAGTGCTCCAGGAAATACTGTGAATCCAATTTGAGGGGGGGGGCACAGAGGGCTGCAGAAAGAGGGGAAGGGGAACAAAAGCTTGACTGCTAGTATTTGTTGAAAGAATCTTCCAGAAAATCACCTCTTTTGCACCCCTCGCCATTCTCTTGGCTACGAATCTGGGCCTTGAAACATGGCCTTCTATCTAGTTTAGGACAGCCTTTTCTATCAAATGATTTTTTAAAAAATAAACCTAGTAACCTAGGCCTTCGAGAATACAAACCTAGTAACCTTTATTTAAGCATAACCTTCTGCCTGGTTTATTGCTTCAGTGAACAGAGCAATAAGGTGAGCTTAACAGTTTGGAGGAACACGGCTGCTGTTTACTGTTAACTAAAAATATCCTAACAGAACTTTCCTTAACAACATATCTATGTTGCGAAGATTCTCAGTCATTCAGGTGAGGTTATTTGGAAGTTCAGTCATGGCAACTGGACTTCACTCTTATTAGGCTGAAACGTCCAACTGCCATGACTCAATTTCCAGACTTCCTTAACAACCTGAATCAACATGTACAACAGTGCTGAAATCTGACAGTAATTCATTGGGTGCAGAGGTACACCACTAGATCTTGGCCACCATGAATTAAGCCAAGAAAATGTATACAACTTGCTGGTTTTGGGGAAACTTACCACCACTTTTCCCCCAGGCCCTTGACTTCGGACAGTTACACCCATCCACTGGTCTTCCTTGCTTTCTTTTGTCAGATCAGCTGAAAAAATAATCACAAAGTGGTTTCACATGCGCTCTTTTTAAAAGTAATGTTTCCGGTAACATGAACAGTTACTTAGTAAAGGTTCCCCTTGACATTTAGTCCAGTTGTGTCTGACTCTAGGGGGCGGTGCTCATCCCTGTCTCCAAGCCAGAGCCAGTTTTTTTTCGTAGACAGTTTTCTGTGGTCACGTGGCCAGCATGACTAGACATGGAACACTGTTACCTTCCCACCGTGGTGGTTTCTATTTATCTACTGTACTTGCATTTTTACATACTTTCAAACTGCTAGGTTGGCAGGAGCTGGAACAAGCGATGGGAGATCACTCCGTCACGTGGATTTGATCTTACGACGGCTGGTCTTCTGACCTTGCAGCACAGAGGCTTCTGCGGTTTAACCCACAGTGCCACCATGTTCAAATGTACAGTTACTTACAAACATTTTATTTTAAAACTAAATCCATCAACTAAATTCATTCAGTACCTGAAACCATCTTTAGATGGCACTGTTTGCCCACACTTTCAAAATACTGTAAGTAAAGGACAACTCTCAACTGTTGATCAGCATGAACATTCCCTGAGGAAACAGCTCCTCTTATTCAGTTCAAGCGGGACTCTTCCACAGTCCAGCCACTTCAGACACCATCCATCACCACCCTGGCATTCTGTATGTTCCTTCGCCCCCGGCACTTTGCAGTAGGCTAATTATTGAGCTAAATTGGGATGGGGGTGGGGAGGGGGAAGAGATCCTTCTACAGATATTCTGTAGTTTTGTGAACCTTGGCATTCTTCGAGTCTTTTCAGGCCCTTTGCATACAGCTACATGAGGTAGCAAGAGAAACTGGCACTCAAGACAGTTAAATCACTATTAATACATGTGATAGGCTGTATTTTGAGTGGATTATGCTTCCCCCCCCTCCGGAACACTCTGTGTGTGTGTGTGTGAGTTAATAGTGTACATCTGCGCCCAATGAAACTGTTACTCCTCAATAAATAGCTAAATTATATGAACATTGCTTAGAAAAGACACAATCCATGGGAAGTCGTGCTACAAAACCCACAAGTTCCGCAAGAGCATTGCCTGCTTGTAGTAGAAGAACTTGGGGGGTCTGTCACTAAGTCCCTTAAGAGTTTCACTAAGGATTTCCAGAGCAAAATAATAATACAGCAAGAATAGTAACAGTCACATAGTAATCTGAAAAATAACCAACAAGAGGGTCCATAGGAAAATGTTTGAGAAAAAACTAAACATTCCTCTAATGAGATTTTTAAAAACAACAACAACAAAACCCACCAGGAACAGATCTTCAAATTTGGCCTGAAATAGAACAGCCACATATTGGTGAGCTCACCTTTCTCATCAAATTGTACGCGTATGCACGGCACATCTGGAGAGCGAATGTCACAGCTGTACAGGCCTCCAGTTCTGTTGGCCAGCTGTGATGGGAAAGCTTTTTGTCGAGGTGCACCAACCAGCAACCTGTTGAGAGATGAACAGCAGAAGGCATTTGAACATTTAACAGTTAACTGGATTTTTCTGCAACCGTTATTAATGCATTGATTGAGGAGTGTCACAGTAAGTTACATTATTGCATCCGTTCTTCAGTACTGTATTAGAAGTAGATCCACTTCATGAAGTATGGACGGAAATGCAAGCCATCCTGGAGCAGATTTTGCTTAAGGTCAACTGAGGCCTTCCAGAGGTTTTTTGGCACACAACTCCCATCAACCCCAGATAGCATTGCCAGTTGTGAAGGATTATACACTGATGTTCTAAGATACCTGGAGGCTGCAATTGTCCAGCCCTGATTTAAGATTAGCAACTGAAAGGAACCACTGGATCAAGACAAGTGTCTCTGCTCACCACAATATGACCACAGAATCATGGAGTAACAGAGTTGGAAGGGGCCTCGGAGGCCACTGAGGCCAACCCCTGTCTCAGTGAAGGAGTACAAATCAAAGGATATCTGACACATGGCTGCCTAACCTTCTCTGGCGCACCTCCCATGTCGGAGTGCTCACCATCTCCCAAAGTAATTGGTTCCATTGTTACATTGCTCTAACAGGAAGATTTTTTCCCCTGATATTCAATTGAAATCTGGCTTCCTGTAACATCACCAACACACACACACACACACACACGATTTTCATACACTGATCTGCACTGTTTT